ATAAGCATAATATTTTTAAATTAAAAATACATAAGGGCCCATTTTGAAGTTTCGTCCCGGGCGCAATGTTTGGCTGCTACGGTACCGATTGTTCGCGATGTTTTCGGGCGACGAGCTCGACGATGCGGTAACGGTCTGGGGCGCGTTGCGACGACTACATGTCTCCGTTCGTCGGAGATGTTCCGCGCGCGATAAGAGCATGCGGCCGGACGCCCGTATCGACATAATGCAGTGAGCGTATTAGCATTATTAAAGGTACACCGGTGATGAGAACGAACAACAACAGAGATCGGCAGCGGACAATAGTGTTACATGGTGACGACATTATTATTCCCATTGTAGCACGACCGGATGATTTTCCTTCGCCCTAAACCTGTAACCACCCCGTCTCTCGCGACCATCACCGTGTGACAGCTGATCTTACCCGCGTACGTACATGGTCGTTTGGTAGATTCTCGTCACGTTCTCGTTTCGTACGCGTGTTGGTCAGTGGCGAGGTCGTTTTTACCGGGCGGGTGAAATGCATATTTTCACCCGCTCTTGAAATGGAAAATCGCTTATAGATGTTACGTCACAGCCACAACAATTTTATCAGTAGACGCAAAGATTCGGCGGACTCTTTTGTATTCGTGTAGTAAAACACTTCAACACGTAAAACAAGACATTTCTATTTCAATTTAAACATAATATTATGTATGTTTATAATAGCGAAAAAATAAAAGAAAAAAATACGATGTATAGTAAACACGATATAATGAATAAAAAGGAAGAAAAATTGATGTTGGCCATCCCTGAATACCGACAATGTGTTCACGTGGTATACCGACGATCGTACCGCAGTTATTTGACGTGACTAATATAAATGCCGTATCTGGGGAAGGGAGATATGGGCATTTGTTTCCTCATGTTTTTACAATTATTTCGAAATTTTTTTCCTTTTTTCGATAGTGTTAAATAATGTAATATAATAAATTGATAATGAGGTAAATTAGTGAATTTCCTAATTTGATTATAAATCTAGGTTATTAGGCTATTAGTTTTTAATTATTTTTATTTACTATTTGCTTTATGTTTGTACTGTATACTAAAAATATGGTTACGCTCAAAAATGGGCCAGGTTCGCTTATGCAACCTTGCACTGTTGCGCATTTTCAATGATGTAGGCATACCAGTCGATGATATCATAGAATGATTCCATCGTACGGAAAATCGGATGTATAATGGTAATTTCAGTAAAAATATTTTTTCTCCCTTAGCACATCCAATCAAAATTTTAGCTTTAATTATTAATTAATTTAATTTTTTGTAAATTAGGGGACCCGTAGCCTAGACTTAAAATATAACCTTAGAGAATTCAAAACTTTTAAAAGATACACCAGAATGTTTGTGAATTTAAGGACTCTCTAGGAAAATGTATCGATTCTTCACTATCAACAACTGTATCGATAGAAAAGTAATTCATCACGATTATAACTGAAATGAAGAATAAAATAAAATTATGAATAATTGACAACTCATAGAAGTATTTGGTACAACTTTGTGAAAAAAAACTTGTTAAAATATTTAAATGGTAAGCTAAAAACCGTAACTTTTAAATATAATGTGTAATATAATCTCCTTCCCTCTTCTCTCAGGCATAAAAAATGAAAAATCAAGCGACGTGGTGATATTCAGGAAGGTATTTGGAACAACTAAAAATGGAAAAATATTAAATAGTATCATCACACAACGGGAACAAAAGAAAGACCAGTTCGTTTTATATAAATATAGGGATAATATATATATTAGAAAAATTCTGATTAATAATTTAATTTATCAATTGAATAATTTTTTTATTTCGTTTGATTTGAATTTGTTACTGTATATAAGCTTATTTTTAAAATATCATATTTACTTATTTGTGTTTAGAAATGAATTTATAGTGAACATGTAACACTGTGTATATATTTTTAACGTCAAAAGAAATAATTTTGTACTTAAGTTAATTTTTTGAATTTTTTTTATCGAAATAATACTTATTTTTTTATAGAAGTATCAGTATTCATGTTTATTTTATTTTTTATAAGTGTAAATATTTAGTAAGATTATAAGATGTAACAGTTTTAAAGTGAATTAATGGATGAATCGGATTATTTTGTTTAAGTAATTTTATGAGTGGATGTAAGTATGGAGCCATTATTTTTTAATCATCTTATAATATTTTCTTTTGAGATTAAGGTATAATTTCTTTCGAATTTGTTATTAGTTTATTAATTTGTTTCGTATAAATTATAGCTGGATCGAATTTTAAATATTGAATATTATTAATATTTATATAACCTAAAGTTTTACATTACTTTCATGAGTATAAATTATAACAATAGCATTGGATTAATCTATTGGAACTATTACAAAATTATTTGTTTTTAATTTATTCATCATATAATATATACACTATATTAATAATTGTATTTTGTCGTTCAACTAAATTATTTTGTTTTAATATTTTATTTGGATTATTTTTATAGTTTTATCAGCGTAATAATCTAAGAATTCGGGCGGATAATCGACTGCACTGTGTATTAAACTATATGTTTCATTAATGATGATTCATCCTACATCCAATATATATTTAAGTATGTGTGTACGTTTTTTTTTACTCTATTATTAATCATTTGTCGTTCAATATTATAATACTTCTTGTTTAAAATATTGTAACCAAATTTACTGAATTATATATTTATATTGATCTTGTATGCTGGTCTATAGACAATCTATGTGATGGATAGTTCCCTTAATAAGGTTATGATATAATCTTTGTGATAGTTACGAATATTACTCTTTTATATTATTCATTGTTTATAAACTTTCTTAACAATTTATTTCTATTTATAGTTAATTAATATTGTATTTAATTTAGTGTTATTACGTTTTAATAAAACACAGGTTAGTTTTATTTTAACGTTTTATTTTAAACGTTATTTTGGGTAATTTACACTTTAAAAGAAATTGCTTCCACGAGATGCACCTTAAAGGAATTGAACAGTTACAATTATTTTTCCGGATAACTTTAGATGATTCAGCTAGTATATTATACTAGGATTATTAAGCATATACCTAATAATTTAAATTTTTTATTAGTTGACTACTTTTTTCTCAGTCTTCTTATGACGGGACAATATTTCACACATACATTTTTTTCACTGTAATAGGTATAAAATACGTATAGCGATTACAAATTTACTCGACGTCTTGACTTTATCTTTATTAACAACTAGGTAATATAAAATACTGTATTTTACACATTTATTTTATCAAAATTTCCGACACTATAAGACTATGAATGTCCAGTTAAGCAACCGAATGCTCATTTTAGCATGATGCAATCCATCGATGATATAGTAATAATTTAAAATTTTTTTAATTCAAATAAAACCAACTGTCTTTGTCATTTCTTCGAACATTATATTTATGTTTATTGTCATATACGGCGATCAATTGGTTTACTCCAACGTATACAAACGAAACACACACAATGATTAATTCAATATCCCTTAGTTGATCGAGTACATGTGCATTGTACGTTCTACATAACATTGAAGATTTTATAAAAAAAATACATTGTAGTGGATGTAATTGTAGTGCAGAGTATATCTAATATCGGTCGATTGTCCTGTCGGTATTTTGGTTGTTGGTCGAATGGTTTTCAATCGATTGTCCGTGTTCCATGTCAATCATTTTGACTGTTGATAAAAATTGTTTGATCTACATCACTCATAAAATTTGACTGTCAATCATTATCAATGATACACATACACAGTTGGTTACCTATGAATGTCATTCACGTTGATAGTCACGGTGTTTGGGCCCCTTCAATCAGTTCTCGATTAATTAATGATCTTTATTTCCAAATCAAGCACATAGTAATATGCATTACACATGAGATAAAAAAATGAAACAATGTCGTTTCATGTTGTTACGGAGTTGTTTTATGCGCGTGCACATGATTTTCTAAGGAAAACCTATTTGCGAGTCATTGTGTTATTGCGTTGTGTTCTCGCGAAATGGAACGATCGCAGAGGTGAAAATGTTTCCATAACGTCACAGAAAAAACGCAGTGCACTACGAAATGAAATAATAAAGCGTGTATGAACAAACGATAAGGTTGTAATTATCATCAGGGCACATCCGAACCGTATGTCGATCGTTTTGGCGTATTCACACGGCACAAGCGTACGTTGTAGACGTTGTGCGTTCGAACGAAAATAATATTTCATTAGAGATGTTATTATTGTTATCGCGGTAAACAAAAAAAAAAAAAAAAAACGTGTCCCATTGTATGTGTTCGTCGTGGAAAAAAACGGCTAAGCTGATGGAAAACGCATACAACGCACAGAAGTGAACGCAACACGTGTGATACGCGTACATGCGCGTATTTGGGTATTATGACGGGTTCCGCGGTGCCATTGTGCCAAAACAAATATCCACACGAGTGCTCGTCCGCAACAGAATAATAATACTCGTCGGACATTGTTACCGGTCGCGGTTTTGCGCTGCGGCACAACACTCGACGGTTCCAACAACAAAACGTTTATCGATTTTTTTCCGCGCCCGTGCGACCGCCAACGTAAGCGTTACCGTCCGGTGGCAATCGGGTGCGTTTTCGACGACGGACGAGCGCCGGCCGGAACGGAAACGCACCGCGTACGTCGTGATGTGCAAGTAACGTATCCGCGGTCGGACGTACTCGAAAAACGCTACTCGCTCGCTTTACGCGCCTACCCGTCGCCCCGGTCCCCTTTTCGCCACGGCCTTAACGTGTTCAGTGTCGATGACTTTCTCCGTTTTCCAGAACGGACGGAATGATTTTTATTTTTATCTCATCGTTTCGGCGTACGCGAAAGCGAGAATTCATCGCCGCCGTATTTATTCAGCAAACCGTCGGCCACTGCAGGCGACAGAAAAGGAAAACGAAAATACAAACAAAATCAAAACCGTGTATTGTACACATATACATAATAAGACGTACGACTAAGATCGGTATTTTTTTATTCCGTGCGATTACGTTTGTGCGTGGTTTTTTTTTTCCTTTCCCCGACGAACGACGTAACGACCGCCGTCACAGTTAAGGCGGAGTTAAGCGGTGTCGGCGGTCGCCGTGGCCGCGGCCGCGTTGTTAGCCGTGGGGTCTGCGGCGGCGGTGGCGGCCGCCGCGCCGTTGCTGTTGTTCAGCTTCTCGCGCAGCTGGTCGAACATTTTCCTACGGCTCTTCCGCCCGGTGGCCGATATCTCGTTAAACGTGCTGGACACACCGGTCGCGAGATTCTTCGCGCCACTCGTGACCACGCCCACCACGGGCAAACCGTTGAGCAGACCGTCCACCGTTTCCGCGCCGCTTGCCACGTAGTCGCTGCCCTTGGCCACCGTCAGGCTGACGGCGCCCAACAGCTTGTCGAACAGGCTGAGCACGGCCAGATTGACCCGGCTGCCCGCCTTCAGCATCTCCTCCACGGACTTGGTGGCCTCCGAGCCGAAATCCATAGCGGTCGAACTGACGCTGCTCAGCAGACCGCCGTCAGAGGCCGTCGACGCCGCGCTGTCCGTCGCCGCCGTGACCGCGTTCGCGGCGTCCGTTGCCGCGGCGGCCGGCGGCGTATCCACCGCTCGCCTGCACAGAGCGTGCTTGCCGGGCGCCCCGTGAATGCCGCCCAGCTGAAGGGTGAACAGAGAAAATGAACATAAATTAAAACGTATTTCCGCTGTTCGTGAAACGGCAACGGAGTGTTCGCCGACACGGAGAGCTGTCTATTGACGTGAAGGGTTCGATATTCTCACCACCGTGCACTTCAAATGTAATTTATTGTGCGAGATAATAGTTTTGGTAGTGATTGATTTTATAGCGATAGACAGATCGACAGCGGTTTTTATAAACAACCCCAGAAAATCGATACGTAATATCGTAAACTTAAAGTGTAAAAAAAATATTAAGCAATATCTAGCAACAGTTTTTAATTTCATTATGATTGGACACCCGAAACATCTGCCGATCACGTCCCTGCCTATCGTATAGATCTCGAAACTGGACACTATAGTTCTTCAGTTCAGTAATGACTATAGCCCTGTACAGTGGAACCCCGAGGGTTTGTCAGTACCGTTAATTATATTACATTTGTTGTGTCAGTATCTTTAAAACGGTATTTGTTGCATAAACCGTAAACGACGACTGAAAAACGATAGTTCTGTTTTTTTAGGATTAGAACGCTGAACAATTGTGAACTGAATAACCGGCGTAGGTGGTACACTGATAAGTCGCTTTCAGATCATAAAGTAATACGTATCAGGTTATAGGTATTAAGCGTACGATGATGAAATCGTTCACCTTAGCGTAAGGTTCGCTTAAATCGTAACATATCTTATACTATGAGGTATATAAGGTCTATATAAAAACATCGTAAAACGCTAATTCGTTTTTTATCGAACTAATATGCATGTCCGGTATTAAGATGTTATTTTACTCGAGTAACGAAAGGTTTGAAACTATAGAAATTATTAAAAATTACCTAACACGTCCGAACGCTTCACAGGTGTACACTTTTTATTAAACATTGTTCATAAAGTGATCTGAAACACACGACTTATCGTTAATGGAATATAAAAAGTTATCATACAGGTTTTCGGTTTTCAACAACTCGGTAATTTGATTTAATGTAAAATATTTCAAGTTTGTCAAGAAATGCTCTGGTGTTTATTTATGATAATCCACTGATAATGAACATGTAATGAAGATAAATCAATGATTTAATCGTATAAAAAGTATTTTCATCGTAAGGAAAAAATATTTAAAAAAAAATTTCTGAGTACATCATTGACAATTATTGTTTGATATTTTATCCAATGAACTAAAAAGGTATGAAAAATGTATGTCAAACATTCGATTGAAAAAAATTCAACAGTTTTTCTAAAAAGTGATCCTATTTGACATTTTAAGTCTTACGCATTTTTTCCTCTGTTTTTCTCAATCATTTGATAAACTTTCAAGAAATTTAAAAAATATTCCCTAACTACATAGAACCTATTTACTATTTTTTCATTTCTCTTTGATTATGATCGGAGTTATCCTTTTAATCAAAATCGTGTACTTAGACATTAAATAAATACATACATGATATAACCAATTTATTCCTTGTTTTAATCAAAATGAAAAAAACAAGATTCGCAATACTTATTGCCTAAATCTATGTATATATATAAAATAGTGATTGAATATTATTACATACCTGAAGCAAATAGCCGACCATTAAATATACGATCATATTGGTGGAAAATCGAGTGGAATGAATCATTTTGTTAGTATTCTTGCGACAAAAATTAAATTTGACTAAGTGACCAATGGGTTAGTGGAACTTATGTTTAATGAATCGATGTGGTCGCTCTTATGTAGTAATTGGAATAAAAGAATAAACATCGTATTATTACACACATGTGCATAGCGTGTTTACAAAAGTTCAATAAATATCATACATGTTCTATAATATAAAATCATCAATTAAGCGGCTTAATTGCAACTATATTTATATATTGTCAAACTGCCTCGAAAACAAACATGAAAATAATATAATTAATTTTCTCGTACGCATTTGCAAATCATGTTTGTGATCGGAGTTCATAAAAGCATTTCATAATACTAATTAAAGCTGCATTTTAAAGGTGTTGTTAACAATAGCGCTTAAAAATAATTTTAATAACAAATGTATTCAATGTTCCTAGGTAGTAAAGTTATGAAAAGTATATTACCTTTCGTGGACATAATAAAACCATTTGTCAACATTTCGCTAGTTATTACATTATGTTATTTCGTGGGCATAGTTTCAGCTATTAATTTAAACGTAAGTTTATGTTAGCCGCACGCCAGTTATAATTATAAGCTCAAATATTATTAATGTACCTAATTCATAAAAATATACAACGCAATTTTCTATATTTTAAAATTTGACCAAGCAATATTGTAAAATCTACAGTTTCCTAATAGATTCCAAATAGAATTATTGAAATCTTATATTAATTAATCGAATAAAAAGAATCCTATAAATATGAGTTATAATAGAACATTTTTTAATAAGCATTTTAGTTATTTTGTAATATATTTTAGATCTTTCTATAGGTAATAATAACGTAAATTTGTTTTATTATTTTAAATGTATAATACTATAATACTATGAAATGCAAAGTTGGGCAAAAACAAATCAAAATAAAGAATAAAAAATAAAAACATGAATAACTAATTTATTTATGAATTAAGAATAATTGTGGTGTACTGAATAAAGAATCAATGTATTCGTTAAAATCATGAATGATATTAATTATATAATGATATTAAATATAAAAGTATATTTAATTTATTTTTGTCAATTATTATATGTATTAATATGTATTACCTCTATATATATAAGTCTAAAAAATAAGTTTATTATTATTATACATCGTTATTTAGGATTTAGATTTATTATTTATATGATTATAGGGAATAACGAATAACTGAATAATGAATAAAAATAAAAATCAATAGTAAAATTAAAAATAAATCAATGATGAATAATTTTTTATTCAAATAATTAATTGAATAATATTTTATTCGACTAATGCCCAACTCTGATGACATGTAATAGTATAATACTACTGAACTTTTTATTTTTATTATTAGATAAATTTATTGTTTATCCTTGATCTTATTGTTAAAAACAATTAAACAATTATATCTAGCGATAAGCAAAAAGGTAAAGATATTAAACAGATATTGTGCATTATATTGCATAATATATAATTGTAGTAATCATTATAAGTAATCTTAAACAAATATTTTAATGATTGTAACTTATCGCTTTTTTATATACAATGTATATACATGTATTATTTTGTTGAAAACTAATGTCCAACAACGTTATATATTGGACTATACGAGTAAAATGTGATAAGAATACTATATTTTTGTGGATGGCTAATGTGGGTGATACAATTCTACATAGTTTATAATTTTTTTTTTTAATTAATATTCGTAATAGTAGTATGGCGATAATAATACTACATATTAATTAATATATTTTAAACATTTTATTTGTTAAATTAAATTTAACTAAATCATGAAAAGTAATCTGAGTTCTATTGACACTTGTTTTTAAAATCCGTTAACAAACTTTCTAAAACTTTAAATACATCACTTCTTAAAATTAATCGAAATGAATTAATTTAGAAATTATTTTTTTTTTACGTTCATTGAATAATTATTCATAATTTAATTTTTGTAATTAAATAACGAAGTATCAAAACATAAAGATAAAAAGTATTATATCCACATCCCAAGTCATCTATATAGGGCATGGCTAGTGTAGTTTATCAAATATACAATATATACATATTTATCCAAAGTTTTATAAAAACTTATAACTTATTTACATACATTATAAATAATGTAGTTTAAAAATATGGATTGAGGAGAGAATACTTGTTCAGCGTTGTTAAACAGTTGAATTTTGCTAATAATTTTTTCGACGAAAGTCTGCTTGTGATAAAAAGAAGGAAAGTAAACAAAATTTAAAATGTATATTACGCTGTTAATTTTTGAAAACGTGGTGGGACAATATTAACTGCAATATGACTGCTGATTTTCTCCTTAAGACTGGGTCGTTTGAAAGCTTGTCACATAAACTTATGTCAAGTCGAAATCGTAGCCTACACGTACCAGATGGCTGGTAGTCTTGTGTCGTCTAAACCATAAATCAGCTAAGATAGCTATCATTAAAACAATAGGAAAATTGCAAATTGTTGTTCAATTTTTTGATGGTTAGGCACTGTCTTTATAATAAATATTATTCGACGATAAGCCTTTTTATTGGAGGTGTGTTTAGTGATCGACCATGTAAAAGCCGGTGTCGTGTTTTGTTCTAGATCACAAAGCCACAAAAGTGATTTCGCCCATTAGAGAAAATCTAACGTTCGAAATATGAATAGTTAAGTAGGCTATTAAAATTGTATAAATAAAAACGAAGGTGAAAACTGCTTCAAAACGTTCTTAACTATTGGATAATATTTTAATGAGCCATAGATTTTGATCTAGTGAAGAAAACTAAAAATAACAATAATTAAAATAATAAAATTCTTATATTTTCGAATAGAATGTATACTAAATATTAGAATAACGAGGTATATATAAATGTTTTATGTTAATTATCAAGAAATCTTAAAAAAAAAAGTATAAAATTTTACTCGTACTTCGAATTATATTTATCTTGCATAATAATGTAAGCGCATGATGATGTTTTATGCAAATGAAAAAAAATCTTTATACTAAAAACTGGGTGAATTTGAGAAAGCGATAGCACCAACATTTTTCCTTCTTTTTATAATTTTTTTACCATCACTGTTCTTAAAGTTTAACGCAATTTTTATAAGCTCCAACTAAAATATTATTCAAGCAATTAAAAATTTATTTTAAACAGGGACAGAAACCGAACCGAAAATAACTGTTCCTGCAACTAGGACCTTTTAAATAGTAGAAATCGGAACCGGAACCAAAACCTTTATATTAACAAATTAAGTACCGGAACTGACTGAAATTTTTTTTAATTATAAACGTTCTTTTAGGTTCCAAAATAAAATAGTATCTTTTAGTATCACTTATTAGTTATTACAACTTTGCTTATAAATAATCAGGGATCCATCCTCACAGCATTTATATCTAAAACATTAGAAAATTTACATTCTAGGTAGGTACCTGTTTAAAATTATAGTATTTTTGAATTATTTATTTGGCGTATATTTATCACAAAATAGTTTTATTTGGAAATGTTTATTCCAGTATACACCATAATTGGAATCAATATTATATTATCTTCGAATTAAAATAATGATGATAATAAAACTTAAAATAATAACATCATTGCCCACAAGTGTATTATTATGGCAAACGATGCGTTAGTGAAACTTTCTGTCAATCGAAAACGATTCTTGGCAAATGTTGTTTTCAATAGTATAATAGTACCACTGTGTTTCATTATTTCATAGGGTTTTACGTTAATTGGTAGCAATATATTGTAAAATAATTTTTCATTTTCTACCATAATATTACTATTATAATGCACTAATATTATGCAACGGGTGGACGATGGTATATTAAAGTATATTCACTAGATAAGAAATAATATTATATTTTATTGATTCAGGAACCGGTACCTTTATTTTTTTTTAACAAAGAATCGGAATTGAATTCAAATAATTATTTTATTTTCTGAAAATCAGCACTGGTATCGGTAACGATAAATTTGGACGGTTCTAGTTTTTGATTTTAACATTTAGTTCACCCGAAAACTATATCTCGGCAAAATAAAATGTACAAGTTATGAATGCGTTCCAAAGAGGAAATAATTATTTTATATTGAAAATAATAATTACTCCATCCGAAATTTATTAGAGAGTAGACAATACTTAGAAAAAAAGTAATAAAAATACAGATTAATACATTCAAATGTTGTATATAAGAAAAAAAAAATGAATCAATATGAAAATCCGTTTTCGATGCTCTTATACTATTTGTAAGTTCAGTTATAATTAAAAAATATAGGTATATTATGATGTAACAATTATAATGATTTGTATGACATTAAAATAATGTCGCTAATTATATCAGAGGTAGATTTGAGACCATTTATTTTTAAATACAAATATTATCAAATCATTACTTAAATTTAAAATAGTTGTATATTGTAAATGTGGCAAAAAAACACGAATTTTTAAACTTTTTTTTTTAAATTCGGTATTGTAACAGGTATACAATCATTTTTATGGCCATTTGAAAACAGTTGTTCACCCAAGGTTTAAAATATAGGTATCCGTCTCTAACATATAACGTTTTTAATTTTAATAAAACGTTTCGTACGTACTGAAATAAGAAATTTTTATTTCGTGATTTTTAATTAATACAAATATCTGTTATTGTATTTTAATATGTATTTATCCATAAAACTTCACCAATTTTATAAAAAACTGTCAATTATATTTATTAACTTCATTTATGATTTGTTTGACACTCAATACTGCTCGAGTGTACACAAAGTGAAGAACAGAAATTAAATAAATACCTATCCTATTTGTTTTAGAAATCATTTGTGCCATTATAAATTAAGCGAGAGTGTATTTGATTATATTTAACACACGATCTTAAATTTTCATCCTTGCGGTCTGCTATAATGATAGACTAGATAGTGACTAGAATAATAAAACAAATATTTCTATTTGCATATTGTACAGTTTACCATTTTCAGTTGTAATGTGTGATAATAATGATATGTATATATTTAAATTTAATTTTAACTATGTCATGTTTTCAAATATAACACATGAATGATATTAGTAGGTATTTCATGTTAATCTAATCGATTTATTGTATGTAGAACATAGGATACTGATATAGCTCAACAATAAAAAAACGTGTTCAGAGAAATAATGACTAAATGGAATTGAGTCAACGATTAGCACACATTACGTGAATGTGATAAAACGTGACGGTATTGATTTACTCTCTTATTTTATACTCTCATGTGATGCTATTTGTTGTAAGAAAAAGGAAAAAAATCAAAAAAAATGTACAGTAATAATATTAACGATAAAACAAAACGTGTCTAATAATTGTATGTCTAATAAACGGTGTCAAACATCGGTACAGTATATTTTTACGGCGCCAAACTATGAATGGAGATGATTGCGAATTATTGCGTAACAGGGTCGTCCCTGGATTTACTGATCTTATCGTTCATGGCATCACGGTGTTGGTGATCCCGTTGAACAGATCTCTGTAGAAGCTGCTCAGTCTTCGTGCGGTTTGCGTGCCCGACTTGATCATTTTCCTCACCGGCTCGGTGGACTCAGTGCCGAAGTCCAGGGCCGCCGATCCCGATTTCCTGAGGAACGACGTCATGTTTTCGCCAGTACTCCCCACGGCGTCCTTCATCATTTTTGATGTGTCCTTGACCGTCGATCTGACCCTGTTGACCGCGTTACTTAGATACCCAGGCATTGACGCCACAGAGTTCATGATGTTGTCAGACAAGGTGTGGAAAGATAAATTATGTTCGTTGGGCGCCGCGTAGTTGCTGCCGATCTGTGTGATAAACAAAAATTAGAAAAGTGTGAAATAATAATAATAATAATGAAAGAAAAATCAATTTATAATGTACTGCGATGACTTCGATCAATTTCGAAAAAGGTATTCGTTTAAAATGTTCACTAGTATTCGTTGAATAATTTTAATTGATGGCAATTACTTGTTAAAACTGTAATTACGTGTATTAATATTATATAAATATTTTTTATTTTCATTTTATACTTACCTATGTAATTAAAATATCGATTTTTTTTTACTTAATGTAGTTATTTCTGCCAGTACTAAATTTTTTTGTTGCATGATTAGTAATAGTGTTGAATAATGTAAATCGAAGTATTATTATAAGAGATAGATATTTATACAATGATATGTTTATGTGTTACATTGAAGGATAAAAAATTAGAAAACAAATATTTTTTAATATTTTTTTTTTAAATAATATACTTCTATAAAAATAATTATAGTATTTATGTGAATAAAGTACAAAGCAGAAATAGTGTAAAAAAAAGAAAAACTACATACTTGCAATGAACAACCAACCAACAAGTAAATTATCACAGTGTTAGCGAATAGAGTTGGATGAGTCATTTTGTATATTGCTTTGTGTTTGAAATTCTATTTGGCTAAGTAAATTGCAATTCAGAACTGTTCCAAATGAATCGGCATGATCTCTTTTATTCAGGGATCGGAGCCAAACATCGTATACACAAGTGTTGTTCACAGAAGTGCAATTAATGACATGCTTATTCTGTAATATAAAATTAACAATTAAACGATTTAATTGCAATCCAAATTTACCTTTACAACCGCCTCAAAAACAAATACAAAAGTATAATTCAGTATCTTTACGCATGTGTATGGTAGATCCAGTGCTGTATCTGAGGTCACATAAAATACACATTAAACGTTCAAATTAATTAATTATTTATTTTAATTACGAAAACAACAGCAAAACAGAAAAAACGTTTTCAATATGCTATAAGTTTTTGTAGATTTATTACGTGTTTTCTGAGGAATATCATCATAGTTGTTTTAATAAAACATCTATAGCTCCTTTGCCATTAAATGCAATACTTATTGTAACCATTAGTTGTACAAATATGTATAATAAAATATATGTTAAATATATACTTCAACAATTTGTAATCAGATAGTTGTTACAGGTATGTATTCATGCTTGATATTGTTAATTTATTCTCATAAATATGTTTCATTACATTAGACCAGAATTTTCATTATCATGAAAATGAAAAACTTAATTGGCACGGTAAATCTCTGGTTTTGGACAGGACATTAAATGGTTGGATCACGATGATAAATTTGTAGACCTTTATTACTATTACATTTTAAATGTTTTTGAGATGTTTCCGTAATGATGAATATAACTAATGAAATCATTAGAGAACTAATGGGTAATTTATTAACAGACATTTTAAATGATTAAACAAATTAAAAAGGCTACAAAAATTAATAATTTGTAATGAAATATAATGATTTTCTCTCTCTATCTCTCTCCCTTTATACATAGATACAGTTTGATTTGTATTTTAAATGCATTTTTTTTTGTAAACGTTGATTAATAAAATTTGATTCAGTAATTAACTTTTATTCGTCTACTATTTCATTGACATAAACTAAATTAATTTCTAAATTTGCATTAAATTACTGAAAAGTATCAATATATATTGGTTAACCTTTTAACTAGTGATGTGTCGAACCCTGATTTTTTAAATCGAACCGAACTTGAACCGAACTTTATATTATTTTTTCGAACTCGAACTGAACCAATCTTCATATTTTCTACTAAACCGAACCTATTATGATTTAAGTCGAACTCGAACTCAATACTTTTTATCATGTATATTGTACCTACCTACAAATTTAATCAACCATAGTTATTAATTACTATTGTATTAAAGTTTTCTTATTACCTATTCTACATTTTAACTTTTAAGTCTAAGTAATTTTATTATTTACAATACATTTAAATTTTAGATAATTTTTTATTATTATTATTATTTTTCAAAGCCAGTATAGTACTCTCTCGTGTTGTCATATAGCTTATCAAATATTTATTGGGTATTGAGTGTAATATGAAAATACAATCAGTACATTTTAATAATATATAAAAAAAATAGTAATAATAACTATAATTTACAAATATAGATTGATTAGTAGAATTTATAATATAAGACGTAATTTGTAAACATGTTTTTATTAACAGCACAGTCGTGATATTGGAATATTACTATAGATTTACCCAAAATAGATTCTAACCTCTATAATAAATATGATAAAAATAAAAATAGCTAATTTATAAATGTAGATACACTGCCTCTATTGGCGATAAACAACTTATTAATGTTTTGGTCGGCGGAGGGTGAATGTGTAACATGCGACTGAAAAAATAACATTATTATTATAAATAATGCATAACGTACCCTTTATAGATTATCAATTTCTATCGCCAATAGTCTAATTATTTCTAAATAATTACTATCAATTTTTATTTTTCAGAAATAACTTTTGAAGAATTGTACAAATATTTGGTTTTCGAACTATCGTTGGCAGTAGGTCTGGTTCTACAAATATTTTCATGTTCGATTTTCGAACATTAAGAGATGTTTGATAGTTCGGTTTGATTTTTTTTCATGCCGAGTTCGAATTTCGAACCGAACCGAACATCAAGGGTTCAGTTCGGTTCGGTTTGAGATTTGAACAGTTTGACCCATCACTACTATTAACCTATACTATTTGGATACTTTATCACTTATCCTATGTTAACTTCACGGGTTAACATTTATACATCGAACACATTATTTATTTCAATCATGTGTGTAAATGATATTTATTAATTTTATGATTTAAATGCGCAAATGAAATATGAATACAAGAAATAACTATTTGTTTGAGCTAGGATAGTTTACATTAATTTCAAACAATTAAGTATTTATCCTATAAACTCGAATCTCATTTAGGCTTTTATGAACAACACGCAAAATTAGTCATAAATTTTTAAAATTTCAACATATACAATTTTATTTAATTCATAATTCGATTATTGTAATGAATTTGAACGATCTATACAAATGTATAAGGTTCTAGCATAAATGAATATAGTGAAAGAACAATAACACGTGTATTTTATTCTTAAAGGTCCATAGTTTGCACCGAATATGTTAATAATACGAATATAATCGCAAGTACATCGACGCAAGGAGTATTCATGAAGAGCCTTAGACGTCAGGGGCGGGTTTTATCACTAACTAAGGAAGGAGCTAATAGAGATTTAAGAATTAAGTTAGTTGATTTTTTAAATCTATATAAAATTTTAAATTACAGAATATGTTTTTGAGTCCCTCATAAGTAAGTCATTTTTTTCACAATAATGACAAAGTTTAAATAGTTACATTATTAGTATCAATTTTAATCTGAAACCATTTTAAAATATAGGTAAATACATATAATTAACAACAAAAATGAGCTATTTATTTATAAAAAAAAATATATAAAATAGGTACCATATTCATCAATGACCATTGACGATATTTTATTATAATTATCAATATATAATTATACTTTGCTTTGTAATATAGATAGCTTAGTCCCAAGTGGGGAGGGAGCTAATGCCCCCTTAGCCACCCCTTTAAACCCGCCCGTGTTAGACGCAGATAATAGTTGACCGGAACACGTAATATATTGTAATGAAATGAAACTGCAAAGTCATTCGCAAAACAATATTGAAGTTATTTTCATATTAATAGAGCATGTAAGGATACAGATACGTTTTAGGGATAAATCGAAAAAATTATTATTTAATAAAACGTAATGTGATTTTTGTTGGTTTTGTTTTGATTTACCATTTGAAATCGTACTTTTAGTTGTTTTTATTGAAATTATACATAAATAATCATTTAAATTGTACGTTTTACAGGGTTTAAGATTAAAAAAAAAAAAAAAATAAATAAAAATATCCCATGAAATGATTATACAGTTGAATGAAATAGTAAAAAAAAAATAAAATAAAAAACAGTATAGTTTATTATAAAATTATTTTTTTGTCGGGTTGAGAATATACTTAATATTCAGCAGACGATAATAATGACTTAAATCAACAGACAAAAATGAAACGGGAAATGTATAGGTACACGGTTTGAACAGTAATATTTGGTTTCTGGTTACGGTGGTGGGATAATTTTTATTTTTTAATTTTTCACATGGCTTCGTGACATTTAGTGTGCAGTAGAATAATAACGTGTAAGAAAAACTTTGCGGAAAATGGTAATTTTTTGCGCCCAAGCTCTCGCAGGCTCTGTTAACGGTTTGTCGGTGGGCTGAAGAGGTTAGCGTATCAGTGTTGGAAAACGTTCGGGTTTTTCAGACGTCAACGCGCCGGTGGGGCGTTGGCGTCCGGTGGGGCGTCGGCGTCCGGTTTGGCGTCGGCGGCAGGTGCGGTGGACGGAGCTTCGGCTGCCGTGGCCGAAGCGGAGCTCGGACGGAAACTGTCCACCTTCGAGTACAGATCGTTGACCATCTTCTTGCGCCGCTCACTGTTGGACGCCGCGTTCTCACTGAACGTGGACGTGGTGGCGAGCAACAGGTGCTCGCCACCCGTGGTGATGGTGCCGATCATCGGCAATTTGCTGGTCAACCGGTTGGCCATCTGGTAACCAGTGGCCACCGTCTCGCCGGTCTTCGCGGTCGTCTGGCTAACGCCGTTCCATACGGCCACTAGAAACCTGGATGTGGCCACGGTCGCACAGCTGATCGCTTTCATCAATTCCCCGGTGGCCGTGACCACCTCCGAACCGAAGTCCTTCATATCGCTCTTGTACTTGCTGATCGCGGAACCGATGCCGCCCTCTGATGCACCGTCCGTTCCCGCCCCCGGCGCTTCGGCCGGTGGCTTGTCGGCTGCGGCCGGCGACGTCGCGCTGTCATCGTCGGCCGGCGAACAGGTCTGCGGACAAAAAAAAAAAAACAACGTTAACAATGCTCACATCGGTCGGTCGTACGAGTCGTGTCTCGTGGGAGGTCACTCGTAGCGTTGAACCTTAGGTCCACCCCGACCGATGACGGTACCGGTGAAATACGGGTGTGACTCCTGTGCACGCGCCTGGCAGACGCGGCGTGATTTGAATTTGGCCCTGCGCAGGTATTACTTTACTCGTTTTGAAACGTAACCTATGTGCGCCGTTCCGGAAGCAGTCATGACGCACAAACCGCGCGTGACCCGAGAGCCTGAAGCTTGATGAAAACGTCGAAATATATTGACCGATACGTATTTCAATTCGATTCCGGCTCAATCTAGGAAAATTCTCTGAATTCGATTACATTTTGCCGTAAAAATTTTTTCCGTCGGGACACCGAAAAACCCTTCGGCTGTTTTCTTGGCTAAGAAAAAATGCATGCACTTGGTTTTATCCAACACACAATATTATGATGCCTTGTTCTTCGTCTACTTATTCTAAAAGAAGTAGTCATATGATAATTTTTTTTTTTGATCACGGATGTGGTACCTACACATGATGATAAATGGTAAAACGGTTATATTCGAAAACGCACAGCATAACCGTTGTTTCAGAGGGACTCGATGCAACGGTGTAGTACATTTCTAATTCTAGTCTCGCGCGTCTCCATTTGTGTACACAAGAATCACTATTGGATAACGCGGCCAAAAAAGAAATCACATTGGCCGCGTGTCTCTAAAAAAGCGTGCACAGGAATCACATCTTAACTGTCGAGAGAAATGACGGCAAGTGATAAAAACGTTTGTCAACTATGCCTAACCCATGTTAGTGTATTGTACAAGTATTTTATCGTTTTCGATTTTGAGCGAAACAAGGAGTGAATTGGTTTTACCTTTCTTTTGCTTTTTTTCTTTTTCCATAGTTTCAATCATTGCAATTACGCAAGTTTTCAGATGAAATATTGTGTCTGGTCGTCAATTCGAGTTGGTAATTTTTTGAACTTCTCGAACGTTTTCACAATAAATGGAGAAAAAATTACGAAAAACTTCAACAAATTCAATAAAATAGTAAGTTCATGTGAATTGATTTCAAATTTAAAAGACGAATAAAGCAACATCATTCATCCGTCTCTGTATCTCACTTGACCGTGAAGTCTCATCCGTTTTTGGGCATGTAATTGGTGTAAACTAAAAACTTTCCCTTCGAACCATTTTACCACTAGGTGTAAGTTTTAAAATGTTAATTATAAGAGCTACGTGCTTAACAGATAGATTAATACTCACCGTTGACTCAATGGATCTTTTACACAACAATAATATCAGTTTACCTGACAAATTATGGTAATACAGATAAAGAATTTGGTACTAAGCCAAAATGACGAAAAAAAAAAAATAGCTAGTTGAAAAATAGTGAAATAAGAAAAATCGAAGTTTACATTGTTACAAAAACCAAAACAGCGAATTATTATATATTTATGTTATTTATACTCTATAGTTTATTTTATATTTAAGTTAATCGAATGAAATATTGCGAACAAACAAAAATAATATTTAAAAAAAAATTAAGATTATTTTTATTCACAGATTTTGATTTGTCTTAATATTATAAAAATAATATTATAATATATATTACATATTATTTATTAATTAAAAATTACAACCCTTACATTTGTAAGCTCAAGTTGTACGTGATACTTTTCAAATAATAAATATTGTCATTAGTATTATAAGATGAAGTGAGTGATACTTCTGTACTGTGTACTCCGTTCACTATTCACGATAAAAGCAATAGGGCGTATTACGTTGGGCTCAGATAGTTATATTATTATTAATTATAACTTATTATACCTATACCTAATTGAAACATATCTAATTTTATTGATACGAGAATTATTATAGTTATTTCTCAAACATTTTCTATGGCTATAACTCAGTTTTGCTACATTTTTTTTCGATATTTTGAATTCACTATTTTTTCATTCATTGTTTTGGCCGAACACCAAAGAATTTATGTTATTTTATATTAATTTTCAATCGAGTAGGTAACGCTTATTTCATAACTTCCTTTGAGTGCATACACCCGTACAAAATAACAATTATAGTCACCAACTATTATTCAATTTGGTTAACGTCGGTGGGTTTAATATTTTAGTTGTCCGATCAATGTTAACTAAATTATCTTTCAATCATCCGTATATAAATTTAATTACTATTAAGTCAGAAAGCCTTATTGATATTATATTCTTACATCTTTGAAAATTTTCTCTATTTATGATAAAAAATATTCATATATCCGATTACTTGAGACATTGTTGATATTTGAGCATACATTTTTAATAATGTTTAATGTTTGATATATTCATCTTACAATATTTTATTTTTCTAATGCCCTTCATAAATGAGCCTTCATTACTTTTTTTCTGTGTTACATATACAATGTGTCAATAATAATTCAACAAAGAAATATCTTCAACATATGTGTACACATACAACATACACAATAATATTGTTCTACAGGATATTAATTGAAATGCTAATGAATATGATACATTGTTGTATAATTACTTTGACACACATTTAAACATTAAAAATTATATATTTATCTATATATCTAACGTACATTATTATTGGTTGTAATAGTTAAATAGCTAATTAACATTATAATGTACTTTATTAACTGCAAAGTTCTTCGAGAAAATGTTTTTGACTTTTAACGAACTAAAAATAAGTGTAGTATATAGTGGGAATTCTCAGTGACTATTTCATCATCATATTAAGGAAACACATTAACATTTCATAAAAATATTTAATTTTATAGGTTCCAAAAATTTCACAACATTTTTTTAAAAATTTTAGAATTTGAATTTTAAAGAAGGAAAGGATATTCCTGATATAAAATATTCATTTTAAAATGGCTAGTGATTATTTTATTTATTAATTGTTTATTTAATGTTGCATTATTTTAAGTAATAGTTTATTATTGTGTTTTATAAAATATGAATATAATGTAAACTTTTATCCAGAACCTTTTATTAAAAGAGATTAAAAATTGGCTGTATAGTTATTTACTGTCAGTAGTATGATTTATGTTTTATAAATTTCTTATCAAAAACTCAGCAACGGTGTTTTAATCAAAAAAAAAGTACAAAATAGGTCAAATATTATATCTTAGACTCGTATAGAAATCTATTAAGGTTGTCTATTTTTTTTGAATAGCTGTTTTTATATTATTTCATTATAATATTATTAGACTTTGGATTGTAAATATTTTGTGAAATTAAATTTGTATTTCAGATACTAAGTAAGCTATATCCAGCATTCATAGATTATTCTAAATAATTTTTTATTATTTTTTAGTATTTAAAAGTAAAATTAATTATTACAAATAAGAATAACTGAAATAAGTTTTGTTGCACTATTTTAAAATATATTATTTTATAAATATATAAATGTAGATAAAATTTATATAATTTATGCTGTATGTGTGTATTTATACAGTTCATGAATTTAATATATATTTACTGTATTATAGTCCTTTTAAATGTTAGTACTAATTCTATACATAATTTTGAATTGTGTTTTAGGGTTAATTATTTAGTTCTAATTATACCGTTATTAAAACTTTTTAGTATGAAAATGTCTCAAAAATTAAGAAAATATTTACAATTAAAATAATATAATTTAAATAAAATTTAGTTTTAAATGCAAAGAAACATATGGTTCGATTTCAATATTCCACATTTTTATCGCAAGAAAAACATATATAATTTTATTAATAAACTTCTAGCGATAAAGGAATGAGATAAGAAAAAATCATGTTTTATTTTCAAACGATCAGAAAAAGCAATATTTTTTTAACTTTTATTTCAATAATATAACATCAAACAATTATTAACACGAAATAAATGTTGCATTTGTTTGAGTAAACACGTTTCAAGCGTAAACTGCAACGGCTGCTATCATAGCCATCTTGTGTATTATGCATCTGCCTTTAATTTGTTTATTATAACATTGTGAGAAATTCAACATAAAACATATAACGGAAAAGATTAATCCGTATATATTTTTATTTTGTTGCAAATATCTACTCGGAGATTGACGTCCTAGTAAAATACAGCACACAATAATCTATAATGTCATGGAATCGATCGCGTTTAATTGTTTTGTGTAACGCATCGCCACCGTCGATTGATACAGATTTTTACTCGGAAACCGTAACGTCGCCATCGGAAGAAGTACACAAACCAAGTTTTCGTATTTTCGGTGTACTCCTTGATTATATATTTCTTTCCGGCGAAGCATTTTATCTTCGCGTAAGTGAATAGACGTTTGAAAGAGTGTTTGTACGGAAATAATTATCATTTGGAACTGTATTTATTTAGTCGTGTACAATTAAAGTGTTTTAAACGTAACGATATACAAGTACTTCGATCTTAGCTTAGTTTAACAAAAAAAAAAAAAAAAAACAAAAAAAAAAAAGTAAAATAAAAGTACACGCGTAATTTATAATAAAACGTTTAAACGGACGAACAACTAATAGTTTTCAATTTATTTACAATGTTGCCGCCGTGCTGTTGGAACGCGAACAAATGTTCGGTACTCGCGGCGAATCCACCGACGTACAAAATATTATTACGTTCGACGGTTGTGGAGCGCGATCGGAATGGCGGTGCGGTCCCAGAGACGCCGAGTTGGGCAGCAGCGGTCGGCCGACTCGGCGTCGATAAACATCAGCGATTCCGTTGGGCGATCGTTGCGACTCGTTCCCAGCGAAACATCCGCGAGACGAGCACGTCGGACTGAAACGGTTCGAACCGATCCGAAACCGACGAGGGCCCGTAGCGACGGTACGAGATTGCGATACATATTCGTAAACGGAACGTTATTATCGTACTACAAGCGTGTTATTTTATTTTTATATACATTTTCTTACAACGTTGTTTTCGTTGCGCTCCGCCGGAACACTCGGAGGCGCGTCGTCGCTTGCCCGC